TTAAAGAGGTTGATGTACAAAATGTAATAGTATGTAATAAAGTGATAAATTAATAAAAAAAAAAAAAAAAGAGCAAACCAGGCTGAATCATGGTTAAAATTTAGTTCTGTCAAAAGAGCAGCATGGTTAAATAAATGTGTAGCTGAAAAGGGGTGGTGCTTATACAATACAACTGTTTAATTGTTCCTGTTGTTATTTAGTAGATGACTGCCGTTTCTAGAGGAGTTTTGTATACTTTCCCTCCTACTGGTACTTGGCAGATTACTACCACTGCATAGAAAAAGAACCAACATGTCAAATATTAGAAGTTAACAGAGACATTTATGACATTACCCTTAAATACTCGAAGAGATATTAGTAAAATTAGATAAATGATACCAAGGGAGTGAGTTAATACTGATAATTGATGCAGGTAACATGAACCTGTGTTCAAGAATACTTCAAACTCACTTTTGTGTTGAAAAGCAGTTTAAAAAGAGGTCACTGTTGGTGCATCTATGTATTTTAGATAGCCCTAAACAACCCCAGCCCAGTTTACTTGTTCAAACACATCTCCCTTTACGAACCACCACGAAAACTAAGGTCTTCTGGGGAGGCCTTACTCTCGGTCCCACCACTATCACAGGCACGTTTGGCAGGGATGAGAAACAGGGCCTTCTCAGTGATTGACCCCCAGCTATGGAACTCCCTTTCCTGGCAATATTAGATCAGCCCCCTCCCTCCTGTTCTTCAGAAGGATGGTGAGGACCTGGCTGTGGGACCAAGCCATTGGGGCAATGCATTCAGGCAACAATATCTATTATTTCCACAGTGCAGACCAGGAATAGGCAAACTTGGGCCCTCCAGGTGTCTTGGACTTCAACTCCCACAATTCCTAACAGCCTACCGGCTGTTAGGAATTGTGGGAGTTGAAGTCCAAAACACCTGGAGGGCCCAAGTTTGCCCATGCCTGGTGTAGACAGACACACAGCCTTCCTGCTACGAAAATACCTCTTAATCGGGAACCAATTCTATAAAGGGGGCCTTCGACATGGCGCTAGACTACACAACAGTCACAACAGTCAAAGGCCTTTCTCCTTCTCCCTCCACATTGTGGCGACTCCATAACAACAACATACCTTCCCCCCTCCCCGCGCCCGCCCCATAGGAATACGTAAAGAACTGGCCTGCCCCTCACCTGTCAGGAGGGGACCCTACCAGGTTAGGAGGCAACAGCAGGACCGCAATGCGCACGCGCGGCCCCCGCTTCCGGTGACAGCAGAAACGAAGAGAATATCTAGCGAGGACGGAGAGTCAGCCGGGCCGATGCGAAGGCCAAAGCCGTGGCCGCCCCGGAAGAGAAGGAAGCCCCACTTCCGGGTGATCGTACGCGGTGGGCGGGCCAGAGGAGGCGGAAGTGTCGGACTGTTCTATTTCTGTACTACGAAAGGGTGGGGGCGGGGGAGGGGAGCTGCGAGCCAATCGTCGCGTGGGCTAATCCTTCGGGCGCGCTCCTCTCAGCCTCCTCCTGCGCATGCGCCGGGTCTGAGTCGAGGGTGCTCAAAGAAGTCTGCGCCTTGTTTACAAGAGGAGTGTGTCGCTCTCGGGGATGCGCCTACCTCCCCTGAAGAAACGACGCAGTTTCCTCACGCCCGTGGCTCCTACTATGGGATCATGGGAGTTGACAAGGTCTGAAGCGTACTCTGCCAGAGAGCGCCGCTTTCTCAACAAACTACAACATCTACCTTAGCATCAGGGGTTAAAGCAGGACTCCTCAAACTGCGGCCCTCCAGCTATTTTGGCCTCCAACTCCCAGAATTCCCGGTCATTGAGCAAGCTGGCTAGGGCTTCTGGGAGTTGGAGGGCCGCAGTTTGAGGATGCCTGGGTTAAAGGTTTGGGCTCCCAACTTCCAGAAGCCCCAACCACCTCGGCCAATAATAATAATAATCAGGAATTCTGGGAATATCTGAAAAGCCACATTGAGAAACACTGCTTTAGAGGATACGTCCTTTAAAATATGTGTTCAGATGGTTTTATTTGTGTACTAGGTTGAGGGAAGGCGGGTAAGAAATTATTATCATCATTATTATATTTATTTGTACCCCACGGCACTCCATGCAGTCATGTTGGCCACATGATCTTGGAGGTGTCTACGCCGACTCTTCGGCTTAGAAATTGAGATGAGCACCACACCCCATAGTCGGACATGACTGGACTTCATGTCGGGAAAACCTTTGGAGACCAAAATCCACTGATTGTCGTAATGTGAAAGTATCTAAATTAACTCAATGTATACATTACAAATACACATATCAACAAAACACAGAGCTGCCACATTCATATTAAGCAGAAACAACTGCTTCTTCTCTTGAAGTATGAAACAAAACCTTCGTGTGATTACTAGTCCTTGAATGATAATAAATCTTATTCTTTATTGCATACGAGTAGACTCCAGTAGTCACACGACTCAACTCCAACCTGCAACCGATTTCGACTCACAAGAGCCTTCGTCAGGTGGTTGGGTCTACAAACAACACATATGAATACACACATACAGTTGAACAATTTGTTACATCAAGTTTGTAAATGTATATACAGACTGTCTACTTACTCATTTATCCAAAAAGGCTCATCTATTAAAAAAAAGGCTCAACTTTTGAAGTAAGCGATTCACCAACAATGTTCTTGAGAGGTGGAGCCTAAGGGGACATACATAGTGGCTAAAGGTAGTATTGCATCGCACCTTTTACCCCAATTTAACTGTCCTGCAGGACACTCAAAGCAACTGATCATAAAATATCACCAAACATCATCAACAACAACAACCTCTGAGGATGCCTGCCATAGATGCAGGCAAAACGTCAGGAAAGGATGCTTCTGGAGCATAGCCATACAGTCCATACAAACACAGATCAACCCAATAATAATAATAATAATAATAATAATAATAGTTCCTGAGTTTCATTATAGTAGGAGTAGTCTCAAGTGAATGTAGACCCCTTCTACACTGCCATATATTCCAGATTATCTGCTTTAAACTGGATTATATGGCAGTTTAGACTCCCATAATCAGGTTCAAAGCAAATAATGTGTGTTGCCTTCTTTGATAATTTGAATTCTATGTCAGGGCCCTTCTACACAGACCTATATTCCAGAATATCAAGGCAGAAAATCCCTCAATATCTGCTTTGAACTGGGGGCCCTTCTGCACAACCCTGTATCCCAGAATATCAAGGCAGGAAATTGCACATTATCCGAGTGTGGACTCATAACCCAGTTCAAAGCCGAAAATGTGGGATTGACATTCTGGGAGATAGGGCTGTGTGGAAGAGCCCTGGGTTATCTGAGTCCACACTGCCATTTATTTCAGTTCAAAGCGGAAAATGTGGGATTTTATTCAGCTGTATGAAAGAGGCCTCAGTTTAGACGGTCAGAGTGGCTATTGAGTGATTAATTGTGCATCTACGGGCCCTTCTACACAGCCCTATGTCCCAGAATATCTGTTTTGAACTGGGGTATCTTGAGTCCAGACTCAAATAATGTGGGATTTTCTGCCTTGATATTCTGGGATATAGGGCTGTGTGGAAGGGCCCCCACTTGTAGAATTAATGCAGTTTGGCACAATTTAATAGCAATAGCTATGAGATGTAGGGCCCTTCCACACAGCTGTATATATCAGAATATCAAGGCAGGAAATCCCACAATATCTGCTTTGAACTGGGTTATCTGAGACCAAGTGCAGATAATGTGGGATTTCCTGCCTTGATATTCTGGGATATAGAGCTGTGTGGAGGGCCAAAGATTTGTTAAGGCCTCCTTATTGCGTTATTGTGTTTCTTGTAATAGAAATTAAGATAGCCTAAAAAGGCATAAATTATCTGAGTCCACACTGCCATATATTCCAGTTCAGTGTGGATTTATACAGCTGTGTGGAAGCGGCTCCTGTGTTACAAGGTCATTAGCCTTTTTTGCCCAGAAGTACTAGTTCCTCCCCAAACAACAGCTCTCAGGATTCCATGGAAGATAAAACAGTGTCAAACCATATTAATGTTACAGTGTAGATTAGGGGTCCTCAAACTAAGGCCCGAGGGCCAGATACAGCCCTCCAAGGTCATTTACCCAGCCCTCACTCAGGGTCAACCTAAGTCTGAAATGACTTGAAAGCACACAACAACAATCCTATTTCATCAGCCAAAAGCGAGCCCACACTTCCCATTGAAATACAAGTAAGTGTATATTTGTTAAAATTCTTCATTTTAATTATTGTATTGTTTTTTTAAGGTTTTTTTTTTTGCACTACAAACAAGATATGTGCAGTGTGCATAGGAATTCATTCATGTTTTTTTCAAATTATAGTCCGCCCCTCCAACAGTTTGAGGGACTGTGACCTGGCCCTCTGCTCAAAACGTTTGTGGACCCCTGGTGTAGATGAACCCAAGTCCAAAACATATGGAAGACCAGCCTTTGGAAAACGCCACTTTAGTAGACGGCTTCAAAGTTCCTATGGCCGTACCAACACTGCCATATATAATCCAGTGCCTGAATCCAGATTTAGTATATTCCCTATTTGGGAAGCGTTTAAAGTTGAGTTTATTGCCCTGGGCACCTTGGAAATAGGGCGTGAGCCGCCATTGAGCATTTTGGAGGGGCCCAACTGAGGGTGGAGGCAAGAGGCTGCAAGGCGCGCGCCCGCCGCTAGGGGCCTCCCGCGAGCCCTTCCTTTCATTCCGGCGGCGCGAGCGAGCGGCGCGTGAGGGACCTGATGAACAGGACTGCATCTCAGAGAGACCCCTATGCACACACACACACACACTCGCTCCCCGGGATTAATTAATAGCGGGATGAGATTAGGCCACGAGCCCACGAGGAAAATCTCGCCTTCTTAAGAAGCATTTCCGCGGGAGCACAGTCCCCCACTGAGCTTGCATCCGCACTGTACAGTGGATGCGGTTTGGCATCGCTTTAACTGTCCTAGCTCAGTGTTGGGGAATCGTGGGAGCTGCAGTTCGTCAAGATCTTGAACCGTCCTTCCTGGAGAGCGGTGATGATGATACCCTATCAAACTAGTTTCCCGTGATTCCATAACACTGAGCTGCAGCAGTTAAAGTAGCCTTAAACTGCATGAATTCTATAGTGGAGATGCACCCCTAAGAATGAAATGACGTCATTCCCAGCTGCCAAAGTGGGTGCCACGCAGAAGAGCCAGAAATGGGCAACTACAGACATCCTTGCATAGGGATTACAGCCCTACACGCCATTGAGTGCCCTGGGGTGGGCAGAATCCCAAGTGATGTTGGACCACAACTCCCATCATCCTTTCCAATCCTGTGCTGGCTGGGGCTGATGGGAGTTGCAAGCCAGCATGGCCAACAACTCTGCATGTCCTTGCTGTTGTTGAATTTACTAAGGATTTCTTCTGAGTATATATTCTCACTGAATCAGACTTCACACAGATAGTGCCAGTAAACAATAGGTCCTTCCACACAGCCCTATATCCCAGAATATCAAGGCAGAAAATCTCACAATATCTGCTTTGAACTGGGTTATCTGAGTCCACACTGCCATTTATTTATTTATTTACGGCATTTATATTCTGCCCTTCTCACCCTGAAGGAGACTCAGAGCAGCTTACAAGTTATGTGTACATACAATATTATTAGCATAAATGGCAAATGATTTCACCCTTCTAGCCGTAATTATTATCAGCTCTTGCACTTTTCTCCCAGCCCCTGTCTGGATACCATTTCACAAGCTCCTCCGAGCTCAGTATTTATTACTGTCCAGGCTATTGATTGTTTTATGATGTTTGTTATGTTTTAGTAATGCATTTATTTTATTTTTCAATCTTAATTTTGTTGTGGCACGTTTTAAATCTATGTTTGTCTGGGCTTGTCCCATGTAAGCCACCCCGAGTCCCTTCAGGGAAATGGAGGCGGGGTATAAAAATAAAGTTGTTTTTGTTATTATTATTATTTGAAACACCACATTTTGAGTCCACAGCAAACAAGATCAATCTGCTGGCTGTTGTACTGGATCACACATCAGACACTTCCCAAATGTCTAGGGCTGTATGATGTATCAGCGAATAACGTGTGAAGATCCCAGTAAAGTGGCCTTCTGCAGCTGGCCAATGGTAATTTTGTCAGCGCCGATTGTGTTTAAGTGCAGGCCAAGGTCTTTAGGCACTGCACCTAGTGTGCCAATCACCACTGGGACCACCTTGACTGGCTTGTGCCAGAGTCTTTGCAGTTCAATCTTTAAATCCTTGTATCATGTCAGTTTTTCCAGTTGTTTCTCTTCAATCCTGCTGTCCCCTGGGATTGCAACATTGATGATCCATACTTTGTTTTTTAACACGATCGTTAGGTCAGGAGTATTGTGCTC